GTCACCTCATCCTACTTGTCTGTCTGTTCGATGCTTTTTCTTTTACTTTATCTCTTTCTTTTACTCACTCTCTCTCCTTCTTTCCCCCCTTTTCTACGCTTCGGGGGGTCAATTATATCGATTCCATCTTTTAGCTTATAATCCTTGCCAAAGCGTTGAACGAAGTGTTATCTTCCGAAAATATCTTCTGATGCCTTTTGAACTTAGAACGATAAATATGAATTTATCTTCAAATAATTAATATATAACTGTATACAAAAACGTGTACAGACGCTGACACATATATAAATATCTCTCTATCTCTATCTCTCTCTCTTTCTCATTTCTCTCTCTCTCTCTCTCTCTCTCTCTCTCTCTCTCTCTCTCTCTCTCTCTCTCTCGCTGGTTCCCAGACTACATGAATTCAAGCGCCCTACGAGGCTGGCATCCCGCTCTCACCCTTTTACTGTCGAAACTATTAAATGCAGCCGTCTCTTATACTCCAATAGCTTCATATCACGCACCTCTCGCCTGTGGAACTCCCTTCCCTATTCCTGTTTCCCTGAGAGCTATAATCTCCAAATATTCAAATGTAATGTCAATCGACATCTCCAGTTGCCTTGATCTATCCACTATACTTCTCCTCATCCTTTCCTCTATCACTTCTATCTGATCTTGCTCCAAATCTTCTGTAATCCCTTGAGTCCTAGTGGTTTCCCGCCTTGCTTAGGATGAAACGCTTAAAACGCTTTAATATATATATATATATATATATATATATATATATATATATATATATATAGATTGGAATCGGACATATATATATATTCACTTACGTGAAAATACCCTCGGGAAAGATATTAATCTTCTTCCCCTCCAGCTATCCAACTATGGGTAAATAGCAGGACAGACTGGATGGCAACTGATCTCAAAATCTGCGGAGGGTCGTTTGGAGACCTTGTGGCACATCAGCTCTCCAAAAAGTGTGGTTGGTTCTGCACAAAGCCTTCACCCTCATGTGCTGGTGTTGGGCTCTCGGTTCGTAGGAACTGAGCTGTTTGACCCTCATACATCGAATACGTATATATATATATATATATATATATATATATATATATATATATATATATATATATAAGGAGACTGAAATATTGTTACATGTGGACGCACAGTTCCTTTACTCTTGGGTGTGACGACGATAAACTACATCCGGTAGCGAGAGAGTGGAAGTTTCAAGAAATGTACAACCTCCTCATAGTTGCTGTTGTAGACCCTGACACGATGTAGTAGCACCTGTTAGGGTCCCATCTATGGGCAAATAGTAAACCCTCAAACAAAAAACAAAACCCTATGAAAATGTAAAAAATACATTTTTATTGTAAAAATACCAGCAATACATTTTTTAATATAAAAAAAATGTAACAACAATACTTATTTATAGTAAATTTACCAACAATACATCAATCACCATAAGTTTTTCATGACATTAATCCATACAATATCCTACAATTTTTTAAAGAAATCAATCTGTATAACAAAATATAACTTCAACATACATAACACCGTTTCTAGTAATTATATTCACACAAACATGTATACTCACAATAGCTGAGTATCATTTACAATGTATTCACTTGCGAAAGCAGAATAACCTACAATTTCCATTATTCAGACTATTATCCTCATCTTTGTCGCCATATTTATCACAACGTTTCACAATTTCGCTCACTGGGGTAGACTGCACATTTTTAATGGATGTCAGTTATCAGTTATCTCCTCTTAATTCCCCTCTCCAAGATCTCCACTGCCTTAAGCAGGAATTGAACTCACACTCTTTGGGTCCTGTCACTGTATCTAACCAACGCCTGTGACATGTGTCCTTGAGGATATCTGTGTATGAATTTCTGGGTATTATAAACCTAATGTCTCAGCCACCATTTTTACCAGTGCTCATATTGCAATTTTTGCTGTTATCATATCATGTTTTTACCAGAGCTCATATTGCAATTTTTGTTGTTATTATCGCTTTCCTCTGGCACTCCTTATTACTGGTTCCCATATTGTATTCATTTCTATGCTTGGTCGGCTCAGGAGATTTTTGTGGCCTAGTATATGTGCTGATTCCTTAAGTTTACGAATTTTCCAATGATGTTCTTTGTCTATGATCTCAACCTGATCCCACAGAAGGCGGTGATCTCCTTTTTCCCTCCATGGTGTACATAATACCTCATCTCAGACAGATACAGAATAACTATGATATTTTTATTAATTCAAAGCGCCCAAGAAAATTAAAATTTCGGTATTAAATTAACCATAAGTTGTTGATATGCCGTTAAACAAAACAAATTAAAAAAACTTACACGGCGGTTTCACAATCTTCAGGCGGTTCAAGGGACAAGATGATCAGTTCTATATTTGATTATAGAATATATTTATATAGAATATGCAAGATTTTCAATTCTATTTTTAACTATAGAATATACTCAACTCGGTATTGATGGTGATGATGAAAATTATTTACACATTTCTGAATATTATGTCTGCTCAGTTCGATAAGGTGATATTGGCAGCTGATCTAAAAACTGACCTAGATTCTGTTAACTGGGGCAAGGAATGACTTGTTAACTTTAACGCCTCCAAAATGAAACTGCACTCTACCGATTGTCTAAGAGTATCGTTTCTGTCTCCCAGTATGGCTGTTGCTAACCACCAGAAGAGTGACTCATTTTGCTTTCGTGCCATAACGTTTTCTGATTATGTTGAATTAATTGCTAGGATTTTGGTTCCCTGTGTCGTGATAAACAATCGTCCTTTGAAGACACTGCGTTGTGCATGAAACTCCGAGTCGTGCTACCGGTGAGGAATAATATATATATATATATATATATATATATATATATATATATATATATATATATATATATACTGGACTCTGCCATCGATTTCGACATATGAAACAGGCAACCAGACCACTCGCACAAATCTTTTGATTTATTGTGGTCAAGGTTTTGTGCAGAACCAATCACACTTTTTGAAGAGTCGAATACAGAGACCTGGTGCCAGTAGCTCCCCCAAACGATCTTCCGCAGATGTCCTTCTCCTAGACCAGTTGCCATCCAAGGCTATAGAACCCAATCTACCCTACATACCTAAGGGAAGAAGAAGAGGACTCATACCTTTCCCAAAGGTATTAGCACGTAAGTGAATGTAATGGATTCAAGTGGAATTCGAACTCGACTCTCCGATTCCTCAATCCGAGCCACCATGCTCCTCCTTATATATATATATATATATATATATATATATATATATATAATGATATATATATATATCTGTTTATATATATAAAATATATATATATAATTATTTATATATATATATATATATAATACATATATATATTATATAAAATACAAAAATACATATATACATGTATATATACATATATATATATACTTATATATATAAATAATTATATAATATATATATATATAATTATACATATATAATTATATGCAATACACACAAACATATATATAATAATATACAATGCATATATATATAATTATATACAGTGCATATCATTATACACAATATATATATATATATATAATATATATGTAATTATATACAATGCATGCATATATATATATATATATATATATATGTGTGTGTGTGTGTGTGTGTGTGTGTGTGTGTGTGTGTGTGTGTTGTTCAGTGGATTTTCATGTTGGCCATTCTTTCTGTACTGCAACCAACTTTGATGTTATTTAACTTTCCTTTCAAATCAACCGTTTCCTTAATTAGTGACTAGTAATCATGTACTTGTAAGGATAAACTAACAATGATGTTTGCATATTTCTTCAGTCACAATACAAATAAATGCCTGCTTTTAAGCGATCAGACAAAGCAAGACTTGTATATCGACAGCACAATTTTATACCATGACCACATCTATTTATCTATCTATGTATCGAAGTCTGTTCATATCCATAAAAGAGAGTACATAAAAAAAAAATAAGCAAATATCCATTGTCTGGCGTATTCAATAATATATGTATAAAGGAAGAATTACTGCCCAAGTATATATTATTCAGACATCATGGCGCCGTACGTAACAAAGGAAACTATCACAACATTCCGGCAAAAGCTCATAGAACGATAAATAGCATCAGCTAATAAAGAAATTAACTACTTCAATGTTGAAATTACAGAACACAGAGAAATCATAAAAGCTACCAACGCCGTAGAAAATTCTGTTTCCAGTATAAATTGATTCAAATTAATGGCATTTTAGTCGTTATACTCAAAGTGTTTCAATCGTTGTATCCCCTAACCTTCTTCAGGTGTCTCTCGCAGCAGAAACCTGTTGAAGGCCGAAAAGTTGTAAGCATAACACCCAAGAGGAACACGCTGGTTCAAATGATAAAGCATATCGTACCAGGCGTTATTTAACAAAGCAAGCGATAGTTTTAACATAGCACCCCGCCCCATGATGCCAGATGTGCAGTAAGCTTAACGTCAGGTCGCAAATATGATTTTACAGTATGAAATCATTTAAACACCTAAGGCCTTAGAATTAAAATTAAATGTTAACAGAGAAGAGTTGTCTTTTAATATAAAGTTCTCCCGGGATTTGCAATCGTATTTTGCCTTTAGAATGGTAAAGAATTATTGTCGTTTTAAATCTAACTTAAATTGGCAGCAACGCTCTGTATTGGTGTTATATATTTACGTATCAACGTAAAAAGCAATTTAAAGCGAACGTTGATTGGTTGGTTCGTTCATTCATTCGTTTGTTTTTTATGGTTTACCAACCCTTTGAAGACAGGAAATATTTTAAATCGTAAAAATTCTTTAATTATTTTCAGACCGCGAGATTTCTATTTTGGAGATAATAATGATTTACTGATACAAGTCTTACTAGATAATGAATGGAGATAGATAGATAGATAGATAGATAGATAGATAGATAGATAGATAGATAGATAGATAGATCATGAATGGAATGTTATAGATACATCATGAATGGAGATAGATAGATAGATAGATAGATAGATAGATAGATAGATAGATAGATAGATAGATAGATAGATCATGAATGGAATGTGATAGATACATCATGAATGGAAATAGATAGATAGATAGATAGATAGATAGATAGATAGATAGATAGATAGATAGATAGATAGATCATGAATGGAATGTTATAGATACATCATGAATGGAGATAGATAAATAATGAATGGAATCAGATAGATTGATCATGAATTTATGATAGATAGATAGATAGATAGATAGATAGATAGATAGATAGATAGATAGATAGATAGATGAATGGAGTGAAAGATAATTAATGGAATGTGGTAGATATTAACTTATTCAGATATTCAGTTGCATGAGTTTGTCCGTTCGCATGTGTCTGTGCGTGTGCGGGGGTGTTTGTAAGAATATCTGATCATAACATCTTGTCTTTCTTTATACCGTACTACTACGACAACCCGGTAGCCATATGGTTATTGCACCATATTAGTTAAAAATCACATCGACCGTATTCGTTTAAAGAAGAGTGCCACCATCTCTTGCAAAACGTACATGTAATGTGATAGGTCCAGTGAAAGAAGCTCGTCAGAGCAGTTGCCATGAAAATATTTGTAGAGAAAGACTCACGTCTGTGAGAAAGTAACTGGAGTCGAGATACCAGGTCAAGACCTATCACATTACATGTCCGTCTTTGGAGTTAAATGACGTCATGAAATATGACTCGGCCAATCAAATTTAGCCATTTTTAGAGTTTTGTTTGCGACTTGTGTATACCTTAACACATGTAGTGAATACTCAACTCGTTTCGTACAATTGTGTAGGAAGGTCTTTTTTTCTCTTTTTACTTTTTATCGGTCGTATTCTTATCCTTTTTTACTGTTTGCTCAGATAATTGACTATTGTGAATCCATTTGTGGCAGTTTCTTTTAAACGGTAAAAATAACCCATAAGAATGGCCAGAAAGAAATGGAAAATGAGATCCGGATGTAGTGGAAGTGTGGGGGGTACTTTTTCAAGCAGAGTGGAATGAAAGATATATCTTTTTCTTCCTCTATATGCAAGGAGTCAATAGTTGCATCGTATAATATTAAGCGCCATTTTGAAAATAGTCGTCAGAATTTATGCTCAATGACAGATGAAAAAAGAAATGACATTATTCGGAGAGAAGTAAGTCAACAGGAAAACTCAATGGATGTTTAAACCAAAAAACAAGAACATTTCTACAGCCAACTTTCATTTATCCTCTATTATCGCTAAATATGGGATGCCTCTCTCTGATGGTAGTTATTTAAAAGAAGCCTCAGATTTTTTTTTGAAAACTTTCAGAATAAAATTAGATTCCCAAACGTATTAACGAGATGCCTGACTCTAGAAACATTGTCAAAGTGGAAAATAATTGTTATGGCCAAAGATGTAACTTATCAACTTGTACTAGATTTGAAAAACGCAGGTGTAAATGTTGCTTGTGTACTATGTTGAAAAGATTAATGTGGCTGTGTGTTGAAGAGTATTTAACATTTATACATTATTGAATCAAGGAAAAACAATGAGAGATCGATTTTGTTTCAACGATAAAAATATATATTAAAATCAACAAATACAAAACAATTTTGTAATATGTGAATATTAAGGAAAAGAAAGTAGTTTCTTTTTATCTGTTAGCTTGAATAAAATAAAATGTAATTAAGAATGTTTCTTGAATAGAATGTTCAAAGTTCTATGTTGAAATAGAATGTTGCATTCAGAAAAACATACAGTTAATTCAGTTGTGTGTTATTTGTATAACTAACAGAGTTTTGTTTTGTAACTTGGCTTGTTCACAGAAAACGAATGGTGAAATGTAATTCAAGTTCTGTGTCTGTGTGTGCGTAGTGAGTAGAATCAATAGTCTGTGTAGACGTGTGTGAGTTGCTGGGTTCTACTGTCAATTTTTGGAACAAAACACTGCTTTTATAACTATTGCTAGGCTTCAGGAAACAAAGGCGGGAGAATTGAACGAACACAGAAAATATATGATTGGATGAAAAATTAACCAATCGGTGATTTTCTAACAAAGACATGTTTGTGAAATTCACGGCAGAAAAATTCAGTGTGGTGACTGAGATTAGTAAATTGTCCTGTGGTAAACAGTATTTATGATTAAGCCAATCACAGTTGAGAAAACTGTAGGCGTGACAAACGTAGTAGTAGTCACTACACAGTTATGTCTTCAATTTGTTTGGATGAAAGTACAGAACATTACATCAATCGTTCAAAAAAAAAAAAAATATATATATATATATATATATATATATATATATATATGGGGAAATAACGTCACTATACAGTTACTTATAGTAAAAAGTAAAGCTTTGAAGCAGATAGCTTGCAGATCCAATAGTATCGGTAATTAATTTACTATTGTTTACCATAATATTTTATTGTTATTAACGGGTAAATCTACGTAAATGTAGTTGAATGTAGAATAAAGGGTTTTATTCTACATTCAACACCATCACTCGATAAAACAAAATGGCTATTTTTGTAGTGATTTTATAACATATTTATGTTATAATTTTCGAATAAATGGTCATATATATATATATATATATATATATATAAAATACATTTTAGCTCAGTTATCCAGAACTGCCCCCCTTACGCGTTATTATATACATGTATACACACACACACACTAACACACACACACATATATATATATATATATATATATATATATATATATATATTCCCCTGATGAATCTTGCTGTATGAAAATCTGAGTAGCGGATTTTTGTATCAATGATATTTTTATAATATATATATATATATTTATTAAAGACATTTTATGTTTAACGTTGTTATGTCTTTAATAAATAAATTGTCGGACCTTGTCCATTTCTTAATATATATATATATATATATATATATATATATATATATATATATATATATATATATATATAGTTCTTGTAATCTCCAGGTGCAAATATAATCTGACCATTATATAGTTCGTGTTCACGTGGTGATGATTCGAAATTGCGATTTAAAACTTGTTTACTTAATTGTATTTAATCGTAAAATATTAGAATTAACTATTAATTATTTATATCATTCAAATTCTCAAGTTCAAAAGAATTAAACAAAATTAAAAGTTCGATTCAAATATAAGCAATATATCAAGGGAATAACACAGTCTCTCTCCCTATATATATATATATATATATATATATATATATGCAATTTTAGGGAAACGACTATGAGGAAGCGTGAAAAACATATCATATAAGGTGTTTCGTTTTATTGGACTTCATCAGATTAAAGTGATGTTTATGTTGATACGACTATATATTCAGCTGAAAGAGAAGGTATGCTGAGAATTTTAAAATATATGTGTCTGGGTATATATTTAATTTCTTTTTCTTTTTGTTCATGTTTTCATTGTGACAATAGAAAATCTGCCAAGAAAGATAAAATGTTATAAGAACCTGGACGAAAATTTTACTGTGGATGATCTATAAGGTTAAAGCACTTTCTATATATTTCCATCTTAGTAAATTGCTTTCCACCTCAATTAGTGTAGCATTTATTAAATCAAAACTAAAGTCATTACGATAAGCAACTAATGCATTGAGTGTGTTGTTTTGTAAATGATCCCTTTTGTTTTCATGTAATATTTTATTTAAATTCGTTGAGGTTTCTCCAATGTATTCGTCGAGGCAATTATTACTGGTAATAAAGTAAATTCCTCTTTCGAGTTTTAGCATATTATTTTGTCTAGTATTAATTAAGTTTTTTATTGTTTTAAACGTAATTGTAACAAATTTTACGTTAAGCTTAAATAAATTCTTTTCAATGGTATTTGTTATAGTGTCGGTGGGTAGAATATATATATATATATATATATATATATATATATATATATATATATATATATATATATATAATGAACTCTCTCTATTCAACGTATCAGTGTCAATCAGTTATAGTGTTGGTGGGTAGAAGAATATATATATATATATATATAATGAACTCTCTATTTCAAGCAGTTATAGTGTCGGTGGGTAGAATAAATATATATATATATATATATATATATATATATATATATATAATGGACTCTTTCTCTATTCAATGTATGAGTGTCAAGCAGCTCAGTTCCTAGGAACCGACAACCCAAACACCAGCACATATGATTTGATGTGATGAAAGCTTTGTGCAGAACCAACCACACTTTTTCAAGGGCCGAATACAGAGACCTGGTGCACTACGTGCCACAAATTCCCCAAACGACCCTCCGCAGGTTTTGAATTCAGGGGTGTCCTTCTCCTAGACCAGTTGCCATCCAAGGCTATAGAAGCCAGTCTCGCTCTTTACCCATAGCTGGAGGGAGAAGAAGAAGATTAATACCTTTCTCAAATGTATTAGCACGTAAGTGAATGTAATGGATTCGAATGGACTTCTAACTATATATATATATATAATGCTTTGTTCACATTTATATATCATTCACAGATCGCCAATTTTCATGCTTAATTTAGTTCTCTCGGCTGACAGTACAGTCTGTAAGAGCCACTTATGGTGACGAGAGAATTTTTTTTCATTACCGACTCCCCCTCCTCGTTTATCTGTTCTCAAATGTGTGGATTTTGCTACTTCATCAATACGCATTACAGCTTTCATCATTTCTTCTTTCGTGATTTATAATGGCCAAGTTTCAAGGTTAAATGATTTTCTTGCTTTTAACACCGTTGTCGACACCACGGTTTCTTTCTTTCTTTCTTTCTTACAAATTGTTATTTATCACAGTCGTCACCCCTTTTCTGGTATGTAATGTATATATAAATCTCTGAATTTATCCAAGACGACTTTCTCCCAGTCATCCCTGGAGAATAATGATCTATTCGTATATAAAAACGTCTTTAATATACTGACTGTTAGAGATTAAGGCATAACTAGAAATATAATATAATTTCATATATTAAGTAGTAGTAATCCCTCGAGGATAGCGGCTCGGATTGAGGAATCGGCGAGCCAAGTTCGAATTCCTGTCAAATCCATTACATTCCCTTTTTAT